AATATATTAACTTACAACAACCGGTTTGATTAAATCAGGAAAATATTATTAAGTTTTGTAAATAAGAAACTTAAACGACTATGTAATGGCTAAAAAAACAAAACAATGAAATTTACTCGAAACTTTTATTACGAGTTGCTGGTTCGTGTAAAAAAAATCGCCCCGTATTAACGAATATAAAACACGTACGAAACATCAGGCGTTACTATAAAGCCCTGCGTATTTTGAGAGTAATAAAATTATGCAACGTTTGCAGAGCCATAAACTGTGAAAAAAAAAATAAATAAATCATCTAGTTTACGAAATTAGTCAAATAATTTGGGTTACTAAACTATCGTCAAATTGCGCCTAAATACTGCACGAACGAATATTTTGTGTGTACATGCAGTGTATGTGTTTCGACGACCGAGACGGTATTTTTTCTATTTTGTACTGCATCGCGAATATATTTAGACGTTTTCATCCAATTATATACGAGAACGTATAAAAATGGGAGTTGAGTAAAAATTCCGCTCGCTCGTATTTTCTCCGTGAAATTGTATTTTTTTTTTTTTTTTTTTTTCCCCGTCGAGTATTTATTTAATATACCTACAGTATTATCGTAAAAAAAATTATATTTTTTATAGCCTTTATGTGTTTTTTTTTTTTTTTATATATATATTTTTATAGCAACCCTTATTTTTAATTATTTCATATTCTGAACCGAATATTTTCGCGAAAGTGTTGATACGCACAGACGTACGGGTGTGAACGCGGCATTTTAGTAATTTATTATTTATAGGCGTTTATATTTTATACAAGACAAACAGTTGTAGGGGAGGGGGAAAAGACATAGGGGAATAGAAAAATATTTTTACACCCCAGATACATAGTATAGGTACTGTAACGCGCCGTTATTATTATTAATTTTTTTTCTTTAATTTTTAAGTATACGCAATATAAACTATTCATTTTTACGTACTTATTTCATTATTTAATACTGCTGCTCCTGGTTAAAATATTATACAATTTAATTAAGTCGGACAGTTTCAGATGCGCCACGACTAGGTTATAGGTACACTGTTGTACGAGTGGAAAGTTTGTAAATTATATTTTGTTTTTATAATACATTTGACCGTTGCAATCAAAAAACCATTCCGAGCTAAGCTCTGTAATCTGGTTAGGTTACAGACGCTATAGTATTAGTGTTTTACTCCACTTGCACTTCCAATCATAGCGTTCGAGAAATTCCCAATATGAAACCATATTTATTGCGTCATATTTTGTGAGTTTTATTTTTATTTTTTAGAAAAACTATTGGGAACCTAAAAAATTCGTGCATATGAAGTATTACCGGATGAAAAATCCGCATCTTTTAAGATACGTGCGGGAAAAAATCGGAGTATTTTTACTAAACAAAAACGTGTTTCCCGTGGGAAAAAACATGCATCCTAGTAAAACTAATATAATAGTCCCTTCGCCGTCCTTCAAATATGGAATTATACGATATTGTTAAGACAGAATTTGTATCCCCTTCCTTATAAACACACTTAAACCGTAATAAACGTACATAAAAAACGATTTTATACAATCCAATATAGCGCAAAGCCCAAAGGTGATATATTAAAATATTATTATGATTTAGTGACAGGTCGTGTAGCGACGATGATGTTTACTTATTACTGTCACAAATGTAATTTACTCAGTATATAGTATGATATTTGATAACGTCAACGTCTAATATTTTTTCGGATCATCATAATAATAATAATAATAATAATAACGTCATGAGATGACATTCTCATATCAGACAGACTAGGTAATCTATTGTGCGCAGTCGATCAAATCATCTTGAAATAATAATAAAAACAAACAAAATACGACATAACGTATATAAAATTCTACGTGGCGTTTGACACCGTCGTATTTTCAAACATTCACGACGTAACAATCACAGTTATACACGGCATTTCGAATTGTATACATTATGCCTTTTAGCGGCCGCACCTGTTATAGTTTTATACGTCGGCTGCTTGGTGTCTAGCGAAATAAAAGGTACCACGTCGCGACGAGAATCACCCCGTATCCGTCTATAACCGGCTGACACGCAAAGTGTTATTTCATCTTTATATGCGTGTATACCTATAGACACGCGACACCCGCAAACTTTATAATGATATTCTGATAATCTGGTAAATTTTCGGGCCGACTCCGCTCGAGTAGATACCGAATAGGTATTATACCCACTGCAGAGAGCTGCTGCACTTTATAGCGGTTTAGTCCTCGTCCTGTCGAGATATCGATATCGTTATAACTTATATACGATTAGGTGTATACGATGGTAATATATTCACCAAATTATAATATAAATTCCTACACGGATAACAATACGCGGTTACAAAATATTATTATTTCTCAAATGTTCACGTCACGCGCCCGCAATATCTAACAATTTGAGGGAATATACGAAAGTTTATCAAACTTAAAAATAAATAAAATTTACTTTTAAATAAATTTAAAATACCTATATAGAGGGATTTTTTTTTTTTTAGATTCCGAGTGGAGCGAAGATGTTTATGGTTTTACAATGTTTATTTATTTATTTTTTTTTTTTTATCTGTGAACAACTGTTTTACCAGCAATTTTGCTCAGATTTATAATGACAGCACTTTTTCTGACAGAAATTTTGACTGCAGAGATACTTTAGAAAGGTAATTTTCCGAGCAAATTGCTGGTTCATGATTAATAAAATCACCCTTACGTATAGTCCCGTGTCACCTATATGTTATTTTATATAATCGTAATTGGTATATATCGGCATCTATTAATTAATTAATTAAGTTTAAATGTATTTGTAAACACTATAACCTAGTGTGACCTAGTTTCAGTGACCGAATGGACTTTATATTTATTTAAATCGACCGTTATTTGTAATTATATTTATATTTACCACTATCAATTACTGGGAAAGTAGTCGTCTGTGCATGAATTTTAATATCAAATATATTTTAGTATCAATCATTAATCCACCTTGATTGAAAATAACAATCGATGCTCAAAAACTTCGCAAGTGTAAACCGGTTTGCTTTATTGATCCCGATTCCGTTCAATGATTGTGGTTCAGTGTGAAAATCCCCCTTCCGTGATTCCGTGGTATTTTTTGAACACCCCGCTACAGCAGTCGAAAACAACTAAACCGGTGTTTCTCAACTTTTCACCGGTTCAGTCTATGATAAATAATAAATTGTGTGTGTAATAATATTTTTTACAAATATCTAAATATTAAAATACCTATACACTTTGTTTTATTATTATAATTTTGTTAGTGGTTTAGTGGTTTTTTAGTATACACGATTGATCCATTTTTATTTTCTGGTAGTAAAATATACTAGTCAATATCAACCAAAGAGAATGTTTGTTCCTGGACAATAAATAGTAATCGTAAACAACGTTTTCACGGGAAACTGGAGTGTCTTAAAAATTATCGGTAGGTACGTGGCCCGAGGTAGTCATTAAAATTGTCGGGTGTTAGCCAGCTGCTGGTTTTATAAGGTTGATCACCATAATCAAGTTATCATTAATGTCTTATTAGTAGACTTGTGTCATTGCACAGGTTAGATGAGCACACATTTCTTAAAAGTAGTTCATGCAATGGTGGACCAGATATTTTTAGGTAATGTTTAAATTTCTATGCATAATGGACTGAATATTCAGTATTACAAATTGTAACAAATTGTATCAATCGACTTTTAGTTTTTGATAGATTCGGATGTATTACTTCTATAGGATGTTAACATGCTGCAGACTGTGGAATATTCGACTAGAGTCTCATTAAGTTTGATTTTAGAACTGTTTGTGAGACATTTCGATGAAGAAAAAGCTCCTTCTCCAAGTTTAAGCAGGTGTAAGGGCCGTTATTTGGATTTGTGAGGCCCAGGGCAAAAATACTTGTAACACCTTTAAGCTATTATAACTACCCATAACTATATGAGGATATTAATAATTTTTATCACACTAAATGTTTAGTAGGTATCTCACTAATTACAATTTTAAATAAAATTGTTTTTTTATAAAATATAATCTAGGTGAAAAAAATTAAATAATTTTACAGTAGACATAGATAACATGGTTTTTTTATTTACTCATCTATAATTCATTGATCGTCACTTTTCTTTAAGCTACTCACTATTTCCTCAAACCAATTTTTAACTTATTCCAGATTTTCTCCTATCAAAGCTATATTATCTGAAAAACATCAACTATGATACCTCCTCTCACCAGTTGTCCTCGCGCACGTCCTAAATGGGATAATCTGCCAAATTCTTGTTTAGAATTCTCCATACTCTTATACATACAACTGATTTATGTAAAATATATTTATACACAGGGTGATTTTTTAAACATGCTTGTATATTATTAATTGTTACAATATGCCTAAATTCAAATTCTGATTTTTGGAATTTTTAAATGTAGTAAAATACGATCTTCTTGTGTATGTTTATTATTATTTAAAGGAGAATAACTCAAACTTTTTGTTCGAATTTCGATTATAATAATCTATATGAACTATATGAAAAATAATACAGTTGACAATTTCTATTAAAATATGTAAGTTTTCATTTGAAAATCCATAATTGGTTTTTCCACGTGATACTCCTTAAGTGCTATGAAAAATCTAAGTATTCTAAAATATTGTCTTTCACTACAATTTCAGAAATCAGAATATTAATTTATGCATAATTTAAGAAAAAAAAGGTGGGGAAGCATAATTAAAAATAACCTTGTATATCAACTACCAAAACATTTGGTTGAACACTAGTGTATTCACTTTAGGCCATTATAATGACGGTTTAATTATAGCATATTTTATGTATATTGTATATATTCAGTGCTTTTTTTAAGACTACAGCACTGAATATAACTAAATTAATGTAAAAAGTGATTATGTTAATAATAATAATTGTATTTATTTATACATGGTTTAAATATGACATTTTTTTGAATAATACAAATAAATATATTTACTTTAATTTGTTCTTCAACTCGTATGAAAATACTTTTAAAAAGTTCCCATTCACAAAATATGATTCGTTCAACAACGTTTTCGTTGTTTTTCGTTTGGATGGTTTGAATTGGACACATTTTGAAACTATTTCGATTAAATCAATCGGCCAATTAGGATAGTGCCTTGTAAGCGCCTCAACAGTATTTTCAGATATACGAGTTGTTATATAGTTTATAGAATAAACCCTATTAATTTCTTTAAGTTTTTCGTTCATAAACTTTTGATCCCTGGTCGATATACTGAATTGTTTGATGATTGATTTGTACTGTTTCATGGCGGTGTTTTTTTTGATAAATGGATCACCGATCATCCATTCTATGAATATCATACCTAAAATGGTTTTGAATAAACCACGATCAATAATGTTCTTGCCATTGGTTAGAAATAAATACTATATAGTTTCAAATGCCGTTGGTGATTTGACAAATAATTTCTATCTAATGGAGTTCAGTAAAATAATAAAGATAATAATTCTGAATGGAAATTTTAGATTCTGCGTGTAATGAAGAATGTATTGGTTTTACTAAAATTATTATTATTATATTTTTTTATTCTGTGTACAAAAATTCTACCAGAAATCTTGCTCAGATATATACGCGTGGCACCATTTCTAAAAAGAAATGTTATCCAGATGGTACTTTTGGGAAGTAATTTTTTGATTTTCCAAGCGGTATTCCTAATATTGTGAAAAAACCAAGATAAAACGTAAAAAAAAACGAAAAATTTACAAAAATAATGCTTTTATTTATTATATTATTTATCAATTTTGTTATTTTTTGTAATTCAGTTAAAATTATACGTAGAGACTTAAAATTTGGAAAGAAAACGTTTCTAAACAGGGTGTAATTTTCGATACATTTTTGCCATTTTTAAGCTTTTTATAAAAATTTCAATATTTTTGTTTAAATTTGGTTAAAAATATTCATATCAACTCTGGGGAATTGAAATTTATATTTGCTTTTTCTAGACAGGTTAAAATTATTTACATAAATTTAAACCATTTTTGAACTATTAATAAACATTTTAATTTTACGAGTTTCGTACCTAACTTTTATTCGGTAGGTATTATTTTTTATAAAGAAATTTTAATATCAAATTTTGACAAAAAATTGAATAAAAATCGAGTAAAAAATGATGTGGAACAAATCTGATTTTTCAATATTTTTTTTTTTTTTTTTGAACATATGTATATTTCCAATTTAATAACGATAATAAAGTAAAAATTAAGCGGATTGACTAAGTTTCAAAATTATAGCTTTTTGAAGTTCTGATATTATGCGAGTATTATTATTATTATATTAAATAACTAAATATTGTCTTCTCTATAGTATGTTTGTCGTAGTTGAATGGGGTTATGCATACCTATTTTCATATTCATCTTAAGGTCCGCGAGTTCGCACCCGTGTTATCCCTTTACTTAAACAAGAAAAAAACAAATGCATTTTAGGTGTAACTAGATACGCGAGCCATTGCTTGCTCGGACTATTTTAATCATAAAATACCCCTCGATTTGTTTTGCAAACAAAAGTTCCAAAAAACCAGAAATCTTGTTTCTATGTACCAAGTGTAGCTTATTTTCTGAAACGACAAAAATAAATGTTTCCATTACAAAAAGTAGTTTTCATTACACTTGCGCACTTTGAAAGGGTTAAAAAACCCAAAATTACTTCTTAGTGTACATTTGGGTATTCCCCATCACCTCCAGAAAACCCCATTTCAATCTAAGATCATTAGGCTGAGATATTTAGTGATAAATAAAATACAGGACATACTGTATCCTATCTATATTATTTTGTTTATCCGGTTAGAGTATTTTGTTATTTCGTTATTTATATCGCCGTTGTGTCCATATAGTCACAGTACACAGTTATACGTTTATTGATTTAGTTAACAAGGAGATAATATAATATTATAGTATTTGTAGCACTATCGCGGGCTTTTCCCATGTCAATATTGAACGAAACAATTGTGAAAAAAAGTAAAATCATGTTTCCCCTTGAATCCCCGTTTAACGTCACTAAAATATATCATCATTACAAATATATTTTTTTGGTCGTTACAACCAAATTAACTAATAATAACGGTTTTTAAGTTTCTTAATCTGTGTCAACAAGGTAATCAAAAATTAAGTTTCATCTACTCTTTAAGAATTGAATTATCCGGAATACAAATTACTATACTTTGCTCCCGAAAATGCTTGCAGTGAAAGGTTATGTTAAATCCGCGTGAAAGTCCCAATGCAATTGTTACAATCTTTCAGAGATTTTCCTGAATAGACAAGTAATATTTTATTCTATACTATTAAAATTCATACTAGCCAATATTAAAAAAATGCTTTCGTTTTTCGAGTTTCCATAGTTTATTTTAGAAACCCCTTGGAAAATCAAAAACTGACCTTTTTCTTAGAGTACGAATTAAATCAAGTTTCCTTTCTGAAAAGGTGCTACACTTGATAATTGGAGCAAGATTTCTGGTAGAAATTGTATACACAGTTAAAAAAAAAAAATATATAAATAAATAAAACATCATAGTAAAAAAATAATACATTCCTCGCTTCACTCAGAATCAAAAACTACTTCATTACACTCTTTTTTTATTTACCACTAAGTACAACTCATGATAAACCTCGTGTTAAACTGTCAAAAATTTTTTTTTGGTCAAGCAATTTATGCTCATAGCACTTACCAAATAAAAACTAAAAAATATTCCTACAAAAAGCTTAGAAATCGCCAAAATATTTTTAAATTAAAATGTTGTCTCGTATAAATAGGACTATAATATAAGTAATTCTATGGACATTGTAGTCTTTACCATAATTTGTATGTATTTATCTGATTAAAAATATAAAACCGAAAACAAAAATAACGAGACTATTAATGCTATAAACTTTCCCGTACTTCTACCGATTTTTCTCAATTGTTATGAAAACAGGTTGAAAAATTGAAACATTACTTTCTTGCTAACAAACTAGGCTTGAAATTCAAAAAAAAAGCTAATTTATCGATTGGAGCAAGACTTCTGGTAGAAAACATAGAACGTAAAAATGTAAGATAACGTATACCCAGTTCAAATATATCCCCTCAAAAAAGTGTTATTTATTTTGCATACTTATACATTTTTAAACCTGTAAGTACCTATAGCCATTTTGCCCAACACTGCTCGTATAAATCACTTACTACACAAATATCAAAGAAAAATAAGCTAATACTGGGGACGAGTGCAGCCACTGATGTAGGCGGGATGTTGAGAAGTTAGGATACATACAGTTATTTAATTCATATCTATACGCAATGATATACCATTGCTAACGAAAATGAAGTTCGGTAAAATATTTAATAAATTTTGAAATGCCGTAATTTTTACAATTTTCGTCAAAATTTGATCTAAAACACGCTTTTCAAAAAAAAAAAAAAGGAATCAACTCAAATTTGTTTTTTAGACCATTAGGTACAACTTATAATATGCCTGGTATTAAATTTGCAAGCATTTCTCTTAAGCCATATAATTTTAATAATAGATAACTATGAAAAAAAAAATACATATAATATGTAACAAAAAAATGTTATATGTACCTAAAAATAGCAAGAATTTTTTGAAAATTTAATCACGTCTACAAAAGGATAATATAAGTATTTCTATGAAAACTACAGGTCTCTACAATAATTTTGGCCGAATAACAACAAAAAAAAAACCAATTCCGTACATTTTGCCGTGTTTCCTACGTTTTTCGCCGGATTTTCGTAATTATTAGGAAAACTACGGATAATCAAACAATGACATTCTTAATCATAAACTAAACAAATTTTTCTTTCAGAAAATAAAAAGTTAAAATTATAAATTCTTGAAATTTGAGCAAAGATTTCCGGTAAAAAAATATAATCTTAAACAATTTTAAACAATGACATCGTTGTGTCGTAATGTTAATAAAAAATTGTATTTTTTGTCTTTATTGATTTTGCCCAATTATATCATGAAAACTACTATTGAAATATCAAAAAATGACTTTCTCTATCATTTTTCAATTGGAATATTTCACCACATTCTCTATACGATTTTGGTAATTTCTAGTAGTAAACATCGTTTGCAAAAATTAAAATAATTAAATCGGGGCCCCGGATTGCCGTTAATATTAATCAATTTTAACTTTCCGGGTGTTTTCAATTTTTTTTAAAACTCCCTTGAAAAATCAAAAAATTACCTTTCAGATAACCTTTTTTTTATCTTTCAGAAAAAGTATATCATTAGAGCCAAATGTCTGGTATAAAAGTTATTTACCTACTTACAGAAAAATAAAATAAACATCATTGTAAAACCAATGCATTCATCACTACGCTCTGAATCTAAAATACACCTTATGGTAAAACCGCTTCGATCTAAAAACGATAAAACGTTAGCTCACCTATAGACCAAATGTCGACTTCGGTACCGTAATTTTGTAATCCTATTAAGACTTCCGGCGCCTGGTACCATATAGTGCCCATTTCGGGCGTTACCGTTAAGTCCGCGTTAAACGATGGCGGGCATATGATTCTCGAAATGCCCATGTCACAAATTTTCACCACACCGTCTCCGGTCACTAGTATGTTTTGTGGCTTCAAGTCCCGGTGCACCACGCTCTTTTCGTGTATGTAATCAACACCTCTGATTAACTAAAAATAAAAATTAAAACATTTAATATAGTGGGTAAACTTTATCCTCGCATTTGCATATAAATTGTTACCCTATTTAGAACATATTTACTTGAATCATAAACTCCTTTGTCATAAGGTAGCCAAAGCCGTCCGGATAGAACTCAATCATGTAATCAAACATGTTGTACTGGACGTACGGGAAAACGATGTAGAAAAATGTCTTTTTGCGGAAAATGTTCAACAGACTGATCACGTGATCGTGTTTTTTAAGTCTACCGAGTATGATGAATTCGCGCAATGCATCGGGCTGGTTAACAATCGATTCGGTTATTTTCTTAATCGCAACGATTTCATCTGTCCGTTTGTCTAGGCATTTCATCACGGTGCCGTACGAACCCTGACCGATTATCTCGATCGGCTTGTACCAATTATTATCAGTATCGCGCGAATCTTTTTTATTTTTATTACACGCTTTCACCGTTACTTTTTTATTATTATTATTGTTATTGCCATACATAATAATTTAGGTAATAACAACAAATCAAATTTTAAAATGCTACTTACCTAATAATAGTTATTACATTCATCAGACAATGTAATAGCCGAGCTGATAATTTTTGAATAAAAGAAATTAAATATTATATGTTATACGATACCAGAAACATGATGTATAGTATTAAAATATGTCGATACACATACTTATTATGACTAAATTATTATTATAGTGTTATTATTTTCATCTATTGTATGGGTAACTATAACAATAAAACATAGGCACGTTCTCTTATACTGTTATTTCAATTTTTTCCTTTTGTAGGTAATGACAAAAAATTACAAAACACAATTTATATTATGGGTATATTGTAACCCAACGCTGCCCCTGGACATTTAGCCATTCAGGACAAGATAATGGGAGGAAACGATTTTGAAAATGTACATAAGAAAAAAAAATATTGAGGCTAAGAAGTAGCTATGTTGAAGAGTGGACGGGGTTGAAGTAATTACCCCTCCTCCTTTACACCCCTTTATTGTAAAATCTCTTAGAGTTGTGTGGGTCTGAGTGATAGAGTTCTGGTGAGTCTTTTAATTTTCAGAAAAACCGAAAAATAAACATCATTGTAAAACCAATAGATTCCTCGTTTGCTCAACATTTAAAGATCGAGACGCAATTATTGTAATAGTTTTTAAATTTTGTTTTTACGGTTTTATAACAATTAATCATTATGAATGATAAATTATAATTACAATTATTCTTGTTAACAAGAATTGAATATGTTAAATTGTAGTCGGCAAATTTAAAGGCTTTAGTAGATAGAATTTAATAGGTCTATAGATCTATTAACCTGTTAGTCTATTAACCGTGGCGCGCGGGTACCTAGGATTTTGGTTCTTTCGCGCGACACGATTTTTTATTTCTCGTCTCGTTCTGGCACTTATGCCTTCCGCCGGCGACGACGACTATCCGGCGGCCCAATTATATTTCGACGATTACGCGGTCGTTGCGGTTTCCGTGCGCACAAAGTTCGCCGGGCAAAGTGAGCCCGTCACGGCGTAGGTAAACGGCCGGCTATGGCACAAACTCGGACGGACGGACGGACGGCACGGACGACGCGCGCGCGTTAACAACGTCGCCGCCTCGCCGAGGTTTCGCGGGTTGCCGACCCGGTGAATTTTTCGACTGATGCCTAAACATACGCGCGCGCGTAAATATTTACGACGTCGGGTTCAGGAAATTAGAAAACTTGTACGATACCGGGCTCGTGTGCGCGCACAATGCCGTACGCGGAAAGGACTACGGCGACGATAATAATAACAGTAAAAATAACATAACCGCGCGTTAGCCCGGCAAACGACACTGGCGCGCAGGCTTTAAGGTTATATTACTATTATGATACGGCGCGCGGGGCTAAAAGACCGAAAAGGTCGTACGCGGTTACATTTTTTTTTTTTTTTCCTTCTGCGAGATTTTTATTACGCGCCCGCGGACCTGTATTGTATCATACAATAATAATATACCGGTACCTCGATACGTGACAAAAGTAACCAACGACGGGCGCGCGCGAACGGTTCTATATATTATTATGTTTATAACGATACATTGAAATGTAAATGTCACACGGGTATCCATGCGCGTACAAATACTCCGGAATATTATTTTCGGTAACGTTTTTTGTATTGCCACGAGCCGCAGCATCATCGCGATGTACGCGTAAATAACCGAAATCCGAAAGTCACGTCGTATTGTAGCGCGTGTGGTAGTGGTGCGATGTGCGGCAAGCCGCCGCCAAATTCACGTTTCGAAAAAGAAAATGCCGAAAAATCGATTAGTTACACCGTGGTAGGTACACTGTAAATGGTCGGGCAGTTTCCCGGTGTTTTCCGAAACTAAATATAACGGTTTAAAATAAAAAAAAAAACAAAAATTATATCGGTACTTATAGAGTAACCTATAACTAGAGCGCCTATATGAGAGAGTGGCCAACAGTTTTTATCAAGATTTCTTGGGGGTCGCCATTTACGGTCTACATTGAGGTTAAAATAAAATCAAATGAATTGTCATCGCGTCGTATCATAACTTAATTGTTTTTACGTGTGCAGATATTTTTAGAAGAAAAATGATTTCACATTCCTATTTCCCAATGGTTTCAAAAACAGATATTGTGTAATTAATTATAATGCGTTATGCAATTTGAAATATTTGCGTAAGTAAAAATGGACTGTTGAAGAGGTCTAAGGGGAGAGGTGAGGCCTGTAGCCCACCCCCTGGATTCGCCACTGCCTATAACCTATCCAGAAATGATTAAAAAATATTGTTGTTAGGACAGTCTCGTCGAAAGCCGTGTTTATATATATTGTTAGTGTCATCTATCATTTTCCACAAACTCCGATGAAATACGGTTAAGAATTAAATTTAAAATAAACATTCGAAAACCTACAAAAATTGTATTCGAAATACATATAAATAATAATTCACAACAATTTGACTGTACTTGTTTTTTTAAAAATATTCCAAATACTTTGCGGATGACTTAAGGAAACTAGGTATTATACATGATGACAGGTAACGATTTTGCGTTACATTATTATTGTATTAACAGTTGTATTTGAGAATTTCGGAAAAAAATTCCGAATAAAATCAATACTTTCCGATATGAGTAGCCTACATTATGATAATCACCCTGTATATACCCAAGACAATAAGGTTTCTGTATGTAACTCGACCCAGTATTTTCCGGCCGGCAAGGAACTTTGACCGAAGAGTTTGTTTCGCCACACAGTATAATATAATCTCGTTAGAGTTGCTGTTCTATGCCGCGAACTACCTAAATTCGTCGGCGAATTAGAAATTCCGTATATACCTAGTAATTTGCCGTAAACAGCACCGCTAAAACGTGGAGGATTACGTTTCTGACGACTTGAGTAGTTTCGTAGTCATGGGTAGAGGAGGGATCTGAGTTCCAAACTTCCAAACCTCCCTCTGGGCGTTTTTTTTTTCTAGTACTTCTATAATTTCGAAACAAAATGTAATTGATTTTTCGAAAATCGTCTTGTTATTATTTTGTTTACAACAATCAAAAGGCATTGACTGTCAGTAATAAAATATTAGTAGATACATAATTTCAATCACTATATAATATAATCTCTACGAATATTATTACAATTAATTCCGGGTAAAACGCGATTCCGTACGGTCCTTATCGGCAAGCGGAATTGTGCATATTTTAAGGCACACGACTCCGTACGTTTTGTACCTAAGATTTTAGTGTAATGTTGCCAGATTTCCATTTCCATAAGGTTACGTAGGCATTTGATTATTTCACTTAGATACTAAGTTGTAATGTTTTACCGTTTTACTTATATAATTCCTAACTATTATAGTAACATTTATGTAACGTACAACAGCGATGCAAATCAGATAAGTGTTTGTTGTACCATATAAATAAGATATCTTATTTTAATTTATCCCCGTAGTACGTTGTACATTTTACCTAGTCACTAGTCGGTAACCACGTCATTTTGTATAAAGTACGATACGTCATAGAAATCAAATTTCTAAATAGTCAATACGGAAAACGAAGTGAAGTCTATTATTTCAGAAAAAAGACAATCACCTGTATTACTTAATTTCCATAAATATCTTTTTTTAAATTTAACGTTGACTTTTTTGAGTTCATCGACTTTTTATACCGTTAGATATTATTTAAGAAAATTAAACAAATTGACAAATATAAATAGTAAATGGCAACTTCGTCCGGAAAATCGTACGTAATCGTGTTGTTTTTATGGTAATTTTGACAATCTATCAAAATCAAACGGAATCGTGTTCCCGAAAAGGTTAATTCCGTTAATTCCAGTGAAGGAGGTTCAATCAATTCATCATCTAAAAACGGACATGAGGTTTATTATTCTTCCCGGTACCCTTTTGGTTTAAATTGTTTACTGTAAATCCGATATTAATATAACGCGTATGAACATTTTTAGAAAAATATTCTCTATTCGAGTCTGTGCTTAAATGGGCTAGGCGAATCCTGTATGAATATCAAAATTTAAGGGATAACGGTTATGGGTAAACAAATTGAAAATAGTGATAAATTAAAACTTAGACCACTCTATGATATGAACAATAAATAACAGAAATCAAATCCTCAAATTATCTGCTTCATGATAAACTATAAAATATATCCAAAGCGAATTCAGGTCAAAAATAAGGTACATACCTATTTATAACTTTTTAATAAAACACTTTCCATAACGTGAGTTGTCCAAAACGATTACAGTTCATTTACGAAAACACATATAAAATATGACGTTTAAAGTCATGACTCATGAATTTGAAAAAAAAAAATCTCGAAACTGTTTCTGATCGACTTTCTGTACTTGTGCACTAATATTATGCCGTCCGTCACAAGAGAGATGCGTGACGTAAACACGAACGGTATTTTTGGGTTTTTTTAACAGCCGTAGAGTGTCCGATCGAAATATTATTAATAACACGCGTTTGTCGATTTACAAAACGTTTAGGTAAATACTAAATAATATCGTGACGTCTCGTCGGTACAACAGGTGATTGACGATGCGAAATTGGGAATAAAATGTCCGCGTCGCGATTTCTTACGTTTTAATATTACGCGTGCGCATAATTGTATTGTATATTAATGTTACGTTAAATAAATAATATTTGAAATTACTCGGGACAACAATCTATACGACATACCGTTTTAAATACAACGTTTTTCAATAATAAAATGTTGTACTGCGAATTCGACGCCAACAATAAATATATTTATGTATAAATTAAATTATTTCGATCGTTGTGTCATTAATCATCATCAAACAATATGGTAATAATAATATTATATCATTGCGTATAAAAAGGCGTTTCGCGCGTATAGAACGAATTTGAAAAAAGACAAACTCCGTACATGTGAGCCACTGTTGTTGGTGAGAAATTGGGAAGCTAGGATAGAGGGAAAATTAATTTGCATCTGTAAGCAACGATAAACCTTTGCTTACTAAAAACGATTCTGAGCGGAGTTCAGTTGATAGTGATGATTTGTCAACAATATAATATATGTCATATCATGGTAAAATAATTAAACAGGCATTATAATATAATGTATTATATATTCTTTAATAATATTTGCTTAGTATTGTACCGATTTTCCCGGTTTTTCACATTTGCTGGGAAAACTCTAGAGAAAATCGAAAATGACCTCCCTAAAGTACCTTCCCAGTCAGATTTATTTTCAGAAAAAGTGCTATTATTGTTAATTTGAGCGAAATTCTGGTAGAAAAGTTGTTCATAGGAAAAAAAGCCGAAATATTTTTCAAGTCATACCAACATTTCGTACATTTTCCTGTTTTTTCTCACTGTTTCCCTTTTATTGGAAAAACTACCGAAATATCGGAAAATGGCCTTCTTAAAGTATCACCACCAGAAAATTTCCTTTCAGAAAAGGGTCTATATATACATCGGAGTAAGCTTCCTAGTGTAAAAAGTGTTCATATAAATAAAAAAAAAAATGAAAAAAAAAATAATAAATATCTTTGTAAAACACTAAACTCAGAATCTAAAAAAAATAAAAATGACAGAAGTTAGCGAGTGGAAGAGTGTGCGGAGCGGGAACGGGAGAGCAATGCGAAAGACATCGAGTGCGATGTACCGAATAATATTGTTAACAGCTCGATCGCGTTCGGTCGACAACTCTGTAAATTAATTATACTTAAAGCCTCGGTGCATTTATATTATATTGTAAAATATAAACACTGTCGCGTATAAGAGTGAAAGTTTAATCGGATCGACGACACTCGCGGAGTGGGCCCAGAGTGAAATCAGTATTAATCGACAATGGTCGGAATTAGATTTAGGTACTTATTACTATATACATTTGAACTTGTTTCGAACGGACTTTCAAACTTGAACGTTTGATGGCACTTCAAAGTATATAAGTATACAAATACTATAGTGTACACGTACAAATAAAATACGTACGCCCGACATAATGATAGTCTTTAATATATACTCGTATATACGGCAATACAAGGTACAGCTCGAAATAACGAATTTCGATTTTTTTTTTATTTTTTACTACGAACCACGGATGCGTAGGTACGTAATAAATAATAATACCAACGTATATACAAGTGGGAGTTTTAGGGATTCAAACCCCCCTCTTCCACCTCCGAAATTGCCTAGAAATTATGATGAAAGTACATTTTTAATAGTCTCAAAAGTCAAAAGTACAGGTTTCTATAAATGAAAATGATAATTTTAGTTTTATTTTTATTTTATTACTATAAGGTATGCATATTGTTATTGTCATTTCTAATTTTTTGTGATTTTCCAGCTTTTAGAAAATCATAATTGATACGGCGATATTGCATAGTACGCATTATCATAACAATAATACGAATTACGTTATAATTTAGGTTGTTTCACTAAAAAAGTAAAATTTCAAAAAAAGGAAAATAAAATAGAAAAATCGCAGCACGAAGCATTAAAATATAATAAATTATCATTAATAAAAAAAAATCAAAAATATTTTACAGAACAAAAGTTATTACATTTTTCAGTGCCTGTGGTACACTCTGCTTGAGAGTTACGAAATAATCAGCCATATAACATAAGGGATAGACTTATTAACCTATGGACGGATATTATAGGTAGAGAAAAAATTTTAGGACATCAAATGAATGGGAAAAATAGATATTAGGGTACTGGATGGCTATAGCCTATTAGACTCCCGTTTTTCCGAGACAGTTTCCGTTTTACAAAAAAGGCAATTCCCTAATGGCTCCCATGTGTTTTGACAACACAAATTCTTTCCCACTTTATACAGACTTAGGAATGTCCCAAAAGAACTGTGATTAGGTTAGGTTAAGTTAGGTGTTTTTTAATTTTTTAGATGCAACTTAAATTTCAAAGTAAAAATTGTTTTCAAAATTCGATTAAAAAAGTATACTGTATCAAAAATATTAAACCATAATATTCTTGTTAAAACATTTTTTTTAGATTCTGAGCGTAATGATGAATATATTGGTTTTCCTAAGATGTTTATTTTTGTTATTTTTTTTTTTTTATAATGCGTACGAAAATTATACCAAAAATCTTGCTCAGATATATACGCGTAGCACCATTTCTGAAAAGGAATTTTGTCCAAATGGTACTTTTAGGGAGTCATTTTTTGATTTTCCAAGTGGTTCTCATAATATCTGGGAAAAAATTAGAAAAAAACCTAACACAAATAATTAATTTTCCATTGATTAATCAATCAATTTTTCCCTCTTTGGTTTATGATTATCAAACTTCATATCCACTCATAAGAGTTGGCTGTAACATTTACATTTTACAGTACCTAGTTCTATACTATAATATTTGCTTTTTGATGAAATTAAGGTTAACGAATTCGTTTCGAACTGAACGTTTATACCGATCTCGAACGCCACTGAATTTTCGGATCCGATTGTTTGCAATAATTTTTTTATTCGATTTTTGCTACCTTGTCGCGTAGGTCGTATTTTGCGAATAACGTCGTTTTCTCGTTAGACGACTTTTTACGAGTCTATGTTATAAAATAATATTTCGTGTATTATGTTGAAATAATAATAATATTATACGTGATACAAACGCAATTCGCAGTCAAATTAACGAAAATTAAAGCGTCTCTGCGTGTGTTTACGGCACGGAATCGTCGACAAAATCGATACAACAATTGGATTGTATCAATCCGATTTGCGACTGCGTGCACCGACGTCGTCGTAATCGGCGGCACAAGACGCGCGCTCGTTTATTTTCGGCACGATTATTTGCATATAATTATTTCGTGACGCCGATAGATTTATTGTTTTTGACGTGTTCTCGGGACGTACTCGGTGGGCCCCCGAAAACGGTCTGCGAAACATATAATATTATACATAAACGATAATTCAATATTTGGGCAAAACACCTGCTGCGCGGTGTCGTATTTGTACACCGATTTTATTTCCTCGTCCGAAATTATTATATCGTTCGGGTATCACCGCGTAAAGTCAAACAATACTATTTCCTCTCGCTAATATTATAATAACGTAAAATACTTGGACCGGCAGCATATTATAAATGTTAGTATAATTACAGTGACGGATACGTTGTTACGGAATTTTCGAAAAATCGTAAACGTCTGATCAGCGGCGTATATTCACGGGTCGGGCTGAGGATTGAAGTGGATTAATCCCTACGCGGGCAGCTGCTAAGCAAACGATTATAGTTTGTATGGCATACCGTCATCAGTAGCGTATTTTCAACTTTTTCTGACAAGAGAGGGCAGGGCCTATAAAGTTTAAACGTAATTGTTCTAAACTTTAATATTTTAATAACAGTTACCTACGTGCTCAGGAATATTTTGGAAAGGGTCAATTTAATATGATTTAATTTAATATAACCCAGTACATTATCGTATAGGCAGCCCCAAAGATATTTGTGTAAAATCTATTTTCAATCGTCTCGTATTTTTTTTATTTTTTTAACAACTATTCCATGACGTCTTGATATAATGTGTTGATGGACAATTTGTCGAAATTAATCGTTTATTTATAGGACACATTATAGATAAATGGCGTGATAAATAGAATTGTGATGGTTAACATGATTAAACATTGTTAAACACGAACAGAAAATGTGTATCTGGAGGGGTTAGATTTGGTTTTGTTAGATTAAGTATGACTATATACCAATATATACCATAATATACCACAATATACCATTATATAATATGGAAGATAAAAATCATTCATTTATATTTTATTCTGCGATAATCTAACCCAGTCTTTATCGACTTAACCGCACATTATATTCAACCGCAGCTTGGTAACCGTCGTAACAGCGTATGTATGATTTCAGATTGTGAGTGGAACGAAAAATTGTATGGTTTTACAATGATGTTTATTTGTTTTAATTTTTTTTATCTGTAGACAACTTTTCCACCGAAAACCTCGCTCCAATTTTTAAGCGTAGAACCTTTTCTGTAAGGAAATCGGACTGGGGAGGTACTTTAAAGAGGTAATTTTTAATTTTCCCAGGAGTTTTCCCAATAAATGGGAAAAACTGAGAAAATAGGTACAATAATAAACAAATTTTATTAAAGAAAATATATAATGCCTATATAATTATTTTATCATAATATGACATATATATTGTTGACAAAGCAACACTAACAACTGAACACTGCTCAGAGTCGTGTCATCGTTAGCAATGGTTTATCGTTGCTTACAGATATACATTAAATGTCTTCTCTACTACCTTTCCAACTTCTCACTTATATCAGTGGCCCATCCACGTGCGAAGTACCCATGTCCGTCATTTTATACTTATTACCTACTTAACTATGCTGGCATGAACATTTATCTGTTTGATGAATTTTTTGTTTTTTTTTGTTTTTGAAGGAACCCACTATACTGATAACCTCTTGATTTCAGCACTTAACAGTTTTTTTAAAACTAATGTTTACATAATGACATACCCTTTCTCTTCATACATTCTCAAGAAATACCAACCTATTATCTATATGCTATAAATAGGTTTTGGAATCTAATTTAATTTTGTCCACTATCTGAAGAGTAACCTACGGATGCCCTTGACCTAACCTAACCTAACTGAAAACGTATTCTAATGCGATTTGTTTCCCATTCGTGTTCGCAGGTAACGTGTTCGATTGCCACTGCAATCTGCTATGGATTAATCGATTGGCCGAGGAGACTGCCAACGATCAAGTGAGACGTGAGCTGACGAGCGCGTTGTGTTTGATGAACGACACGACAGACGGTGTAGGTGGCGGCGGTTACGGGACGGCGGTGGCGGGCCAGCCGATGATTTACGCGACCGTCGTAGGCGGCTACGATCAGCTGCAAACATCTAAGGGGACTAAGTCGGTGGCGATAGCGGTCGACGAAATAGAATCGGCCGAAGGTGACGGCGGTGACAAGCCTTTCGACGAGTCCAAAATGATCAAAGTGAGCTCGTTAAACGAGGATACGTGCCCGGGCAAGGAACAACCGCTCGTGGAAGGGGCGCCGGACGCGGCTCAAAACTCGGATCGCGTCCTTCTCCCAGTGAAGTCCGGCGGCGCCATCTTCCGGCCGACCGCGTCAATGCAGATGTTGTCCGTGCTGCTCCCATTGTCGGTCCCCGTCTTATTAGCCCTTTGTTCGCGCCACTAATGGCTGTTTAGTATAATACTACACTCCTACACGAACCGTACATACTACAACACACACACACACACACTCATACACATACACACACTCACAGATATTCATTAATTTAAATTTTATACGATAAATAATATAATACACGTATAGATAACATTATTATTATTATTATTATGAAATACACTTGCGCGCCATCTGCTGTACATACCCGTACGCGCAAATAATAATCCATATAAAATATACATTTGAATATAATAACAATAATAACAATAATAATAGGTATATATTGACAGCGGCTGTATTTACTTCAGGGGAACGTTTTCTGTCGGGGGTGTGTGGGGTGAAATAGCAAATAATAATGATAAAATAAAAAAGGAACCTTCGAGATGAGGGTAAAAATTCTCCCCGCCCCCTCCCCCCGTAAAATACACCACAGTGTATCGACGATAACGCGCGCAACAATAATAACAATATTATCATTACCATCGTCACACGCTTGTATTTTGATTTCTACGCGCGTAATAACGTAATAATGTTATCACCTAAATTATTTTGTAATCCACTGTTTCGGACGATGGCGATAATAATATTATTATTGTATTGCCCCGGTATACCGGCCGTTCGCCGATCGATTCGTTGGCCTACGCTATTATTTGTATGCCTCAATAAAGTCATAATAATAATATTATTGCATACTATAATAAAATCGAAGGGTATATTATGATGTAACAGTATGCTTTTTGAAACGCGTCGAAAAAACACTATGGCATGCCGCCGTGATTATAACAACATGATAATTACGGCTGTGAATTTAATACAATGAAAAACCTCGAAAATGCAATAAAATGCATTTTTAAATCTCAAAATATACAATATAAAATTCACTTAAAATTTATTTTTAATTTAATTCTTAAATTTTTTTTTTTTTTTGATATTACTGATACAAACATACATATATGCATACAAATATGTTAACTTAATAAAAAAAAATAATAATACAGCTTGTGTAAAACAAAAATTTTGTGTATAAATATTGGCGGAATTTAATTAAAAATACCGGAAAATGAACTAAAAAGAAAAATATGAGTTAAAAAGTCTAAAAAAATGACCTTGAACATTAAAAACGTCAAAAAATACAAAATAAAAGTTGCATGGATTAATTTGTTCGTACATAATTCAAATTATGCACTTAGAAAGCTACATTTCACAATCAGCTAAAAAAAATGCATTTTCCTACAAATTCACAGCCCTATTGATAAAATTACGTTCCGTGACCGTTTTATCCGCCGCTGTCATAAGTATTTAATATTATGATTTCGACTAAAAAAAATTCAAACTGTTCCCAAATCACGTCTTTCACTATCGATACATACAGAAAAACTCCATCCAGCCAGGCAAATTTCAATTAACGGATCTGTCGTCTCGTACCTACCATTTGTTCGTGATTTCTTACAAACAATATTGCTATAATAACAAATTGTTTATGTTTAAAACTGAAAAGTCTTAACGGTTCTGAACAAAAAAATGCAACCAGTTGTAATGTTTATATCAAGTGGCTTGTCGCTTGTGCACGGCATGTTTTAAAACGTGGTTTGTAGGGTTCGTTCTCCTGCCTCACCGAGACGACCAATTTCGATGTATTTTCTTTTTTTTATTTTCGGATAGAGGACACATTCCTAGTTCCTACAGAAATTCGATTTTTTTTTTTTTTTATATATATCCCAAACACCGCAAAAAATAAATTTAAAAAAATAGTTTGTATTCAAACTTTCATTATAGCGTTTGCAAACAAAACTTTCAAAATCAAAATCCAACGCACCCAGTGAAAATGCCTCATCTTTGCAATCAACAAGTAAGAAAAAACAAAATTGTCGAAATCAGACCACTCTGCGAAGCATGAGAGCTCATCCTATATAGTAAGTTTTTAGGCGAAAATTTAGAATTTCATAACCGCGTGTGCTGTGTCCGTCTTATCGAAGAGAGGTAAAGCGAAATTACGTTACATAAATTGGAGCGTTTAGGATGAAAGTAGAATATTAATTAAAGAGAAAAATATGTTCGAGAGCTGTACAGTATACGTATAGCTTCTTCCAAACAAACATTATACGAAAAGTCATGGCCATGTTAATTGTTAATGTTAATAATTAATGTTGGTTTTTTTTTTTTTGTTTTTTTAAGCAGCTATAACTTTTGTAACTAGGAGATAATTCACTTTCAATTCGGTTATTAATATTGTGTTTTGACTGTAATAATTTCATCCCGAACGCCAACACATTACGCTCTATTCCGCTTTGTCGCCCGTTTGTTATACCAAAACTGTTAATAATGCGGATATAACTCCGGCGATGGTTCTTTTAAACGATAGATTTAGTTTTTGGATTTCTTTTCGTCTTTCTTTCTTTCCTCTTTTTTTTTTTTTTCGTTAAAGCTCTTTTCGGCCATCTCGGTTTTACGGATATACCTGTATCTATAAATATATTAGGTACCCACCAAACATTTGAATGCTTGAAATCTGGTTTATTTATATTATAATATAGAAGTGTATACCGATTTTCGATTGCAAATGCTATTGTTCCGCGACCGTTCAAAGACGTTTTTTTTTTTTTTTTTAACGCCCGAATTAATATATTCGCGTGATGATGGAACCAGAAAACGGCCGAAATTCGTCTCGTTCACAAATATCCTATTACATCAGTGCCCGTTACTTATTTTGCAATATAAGTGGACATAAATGCATTTATACAGAGTGATGGATCTAGCATGACACTAATAAGACGTTAATTTTGTATCCGGCGAAAGTATTTCGCGGAATTTGATTACCGCGAAAAATATACAAAATAAAAAGCGGCCTCGAAAATCGTTAAATATTGTTTTCAATCTTATGTTTCGGGGGCATGAACCCGCAAATACCACCATTCGATATTCAGGCGACAAAAGCGAACGTTTTGGAGCGGCTATTGTAACATAGAAGGTCCAAAATGTAAATTCCGAAAAATTTTAACGCTTCCCGAGATAACCCCACCAAATTTCTCACGCTGGATAATATAATATTATCACTCCGTATAATGTAAACCGGATATTGTGTTATAAAATTACATACCTATACATTATTATTAAATTATAATGTGTTATTTGTTTTTTCAAACCATTACTCGATGTTTTTAAAAGCTTAACCGACTTGTCTAATAGTCATTTAACTGTATTATTAATTATTATTATTATTATTACTATAGAGACATAATATTATAAAGATCAGAATTAAAATTTATAATATTATTATTGTATGTGTATCTAAAAATATTGTATTTTTTTTTTTACTATTATTAATATACGTATACCAGATTAGTATATACCAGTAATACAATTATGTGTTTAATAATAATTATTAATATTTTCTTCAAAAAAAAAAAAAACAAAAAAATTACTAAAACTATCTGCTATATTATATTACGATAGTAGGTAATATATTACGAATAATTGAATAGAACAGTATTATTGTATTTATATAATATGTAGACGACCAATACTGTATAATAATTCTAACTGTCATGATACTTGTTGTACACTTCTCTGTGTAATTTTTTTTTATATATATATACATATACAATGTGTCCCACCGTGTTCGACGGATTTTTCTAACGCTGTTAATATTACATTTTTTTCGGTATTTTTTTTTCAATCGGTTTGTCTTCGAGGGGGACACCGATAAAAATAAAATGGAGGAGAATTAAATTTTTATTTTTATCCCCTAAAGACAAAAAAAAAAAAAAAATACTTTATTTATCCACTTTAGAAAATTTTCAAAATAACTATTTTGCAAAAAATAATAATTCTAAAAATGTTAACCGTTTTAATTAGGCACGAAAACAATTAATATTGAACAAAAAATATAATATAAATGGGCAATCAGCACGGTAATTCTTTACATTCTATTGAATATTAATTGTTTTTTACGCCTATTTTCTTGAAAATAAAATGGCTATAATTAAGAAACTATTAATCGCCTATATATGTATGATAAACTAAAATATCGATAATAATATTTTTACAAAATGGCTGTTTTGAAAATTTTTTGAAGTGAATAAATAAAAATTAATTTATGTTTAAAGGATTAAAATAAAAATTTAATTTTTCTCTAAATCAATGCCCCCCTCGAAGACAAACCGATTGAAAAAAAAAAATCGNGCCAGCCCATTCCAAGCGCTTTGCCTTCAAGAATAATCTTATATTCGGCTTGTTAAATAACATTTCCAGATCTTTATTTTTCCTTCTCTCATATTCACCATTTTGAAGTCGAACAGGTCCGTGAATTTTCCTTAGGACTTTCCTTTCGAAGGTAAGTCCTATAATGAAGGTAATCGCCTATATATGTATGATAAACTAAAATGTCGATAATAATATTTTTACAAAATGGCTGTTTTGAAAATTTTTTGAAGTGAATAAATCAAAATTAATTTATGTTTAAAGGATTAAAATAAAAATTTTTCTCTAAATCAATGCCCCCCTCGAAGACAAACCGATTGAAAAAAAAAAATCGAATATTAACAGTGCTAAAATAATCCGTCGAACATTTTGGGAAACCCTGTATACATAATACAACTTAGATATTATACATTATTCTTTATAATATAATACATAGTATATAATATAAATAACGATTGTTTATAATAAGATTAATACATTATAAAATACTTACTAATTTATCGTGTCAAACACCTATATAAATATATTACATGTATAATACACATTCATAATTCACAAAACGAAATTTGTTTTGTTCTTATTTTCAACAGTAGGAAATGTATAGAACAAAACGGATAAACACATGTCAGGGTATCTTGGCAAAAAAAAAAAATAAACCGAAATAAGTTTATTAAGTTTTCGAAACACGTATAGTGTATTGTCCTTCCTGAAATCCTATAATTACTGTTTATATCTGTTAAAAAAAATCGAATTTCGTTTTGAATCAAATATAAACGGAACAATAATATTATGTGCGCCACATATTACGTTCTTATACGATATAACACGTATGGGTTAAGTTAGGGTTTAAAGTTAAGGTTAAGGAATACCTAATTATATCGAAATAATGTAATACTCTAACCATAGCGCTTTTTTTTTTTCAAATCGCGGTTTGAAAAAAAATACCTGTATGATTTATAAACTATTAGCAGAGTTACAGGAAATATTTTTGTTCAGTGCTTGTAAACTTAATTTTAAAAAGGAATTTGTTCTCGTTTAACTTATCAAAATGGAATTAATTCCGCCTGCTCGTTCCAGGATTGATGAAAGGTACTATCGTTTCTCGTAACAAATGAACATTTTTCGTTTTGAATATATTTTAGATTCGGAGCGTAGCGAATCTAAAATTTAAATATCAATATTTCTTAGAAGAAATCACATTTTAGATTCTGAGTGTAACGAAGAAGCTTATGGTTTTATACAAATTTTAATTTTAATTTTTTTTTTCTACGAACAACTTTTCTACCAGGAATCTTGCTCCAATTTTTAAATGTAGCATATTTTCTGAAAGTAAATCGAACTGGAAAGGTACTTTGAGGTGCAAAGTACCCCAGAGTTTCCCTATGAGTTTTCCCGATAAATAAGGAAAACCGATAAAAAAAACTTGGGACAATCGTAAGAAAAACGGGAAAATTGGTAAAATATTAAACAAATATTATCGCCTCCTCTACTACTTTCCCAACTTCTCACCTCCAACAGTAGCTGCAGCCACCTGTGAAGTTGCCGATGCTTATGAAAAAACGATAATGATGCTTTGTCTACAATATGTATGTCATATTATGGTAAAATAATTAAATATGCGTTATATATTTTTTTAATAATATTTGTTTAATGTATAAGAGGGTGGGGCTAGTTGATACAAGGGTAAGTTTTTACAGTTCAATTTAAAAAAACAATATTAATACTAACACTGCCAATTAAGTTGGTGATAAGATAAACATGTGTTACCCCAATATTTTCTGTTCCTGCAATCATATTTAGTATTAATTAATTTATACAACAATTTTAATAAAAATCGTACTTAAAAGCTATATTTCATGATTTACATCGAATCAAGTAAAATAAATTTTTAAAGGTAAGTTCTTTTCTAACTATTCAATTAAATGTTTAGTTTTTGATTAGGTACTTTTTCGAAATTGGGAGTGACTACCGATTCCGTTTCCAATTTCGCCAATTGTATGGACTCGGACAGCATAAAGTTGTTCTCTCATGGATATTGATTCTATTGCGCTTGTTTTTGACATCTGAAACGGGCCATTGTCTTTTGATAATCCCTGTCAAAAGGGTGCGCATTGCTTACTAAGCGATTAATAGCGATAAGACACGTTCCGGATTGACTTTCCATAAATAGTTTATCCAATTCGAAATATTCTGGTCCGAAAAGCTCGAATATTCGCTCGTCGATTTTTTTGGGTGAGCTTTTAATTTAATTTGTTTATATACATATATATAATGGTGTATCACGACACTAATAGGAAAGAATGACATAGGATGTTCTTAGGAAGTTCTTCAAGTCTGATAAGCCATGATAAGGTCAGATATTCTTGAAATTTTGAGTAGTCAACTGTCTACACTAGTTTTCCACTCGTACAGTGTTGTTCCCTCATTCTTCACGGATAACGTATGGTCCTTGATAAAGTGGAAAAAATGTGTGTATTTTATTTTTTGACGCTGAGAACAACTGATAATTTCTTACTAATATATGTTGTCCAGGTTCGTATTGTGGAAAGATTTTCGTTCGCCCTTTGTTCCGATTACGCTGCTTTGTCTGAGTGGCCATTTTCTTTGCTACCAAGATACCAAGGGTATTATTTCGTTCAGGTTAAACTCTTCTTTTTCTTCTCGTTCCAGTAAATTCTTACTGATATATAATTTAACTTCTTTACCGGTCCGCAAATGTTCAGGGGAAAATCCTGTAGATGTGTATATACTATTATTTATCCAATATTTAATAGTGGGTAAGAATTTTACCCAATACTGTATGTAGATCCGCAGTATGTTCGTAATATTCGTCCTATTTCTCGATTTACTCGCTATACTGGATTCCCTTCTAAGTGATAGGTAGAAGTAAATTTTGTAGCTATTCTCATCTCATTTAACTGATTTTCTCATTTTCCATTACGAAATTGTGTACCGTGGTCTGTGAATACGGATTGCAGCGGTCCCATACGTAGTACGTAATCTTGTTTTAACTTTCTCACGGTGGCTTCGGTGATTTCTCGACGAAACGGATGTAATTTAATTATAAAAACATACAATGCAACATAATACTAATGAGTAATATTGTATATCTTATATCACACAACACTTATCATTTCACTATGTATTGCAGAATATTTTTCGGAGTACCTTGATACATAAAAATCTAATTTTGGAAAATTACCTTATGAGTTATACCTACTTAGTAGTAGTTATAATAATTACTCAATGAAAATGTACTTTGTGAAATAATAAGTGTTGTGTGATGAAAAAAATCACTCTGTATATATACAATATGCATATACAGAGTGTAACTGAACTATTTGACATTTTAACACGTAACTACAATGTATATACGAATAATAGTTTTGTTTTAATAAATTATAAAATTGCCTCCTTTAATATGATATTTTTCGATATCATTTAGACTGGGTCAAGTTACGTAATATTTCATGGCACAATTGATAAAATATTGTTTATTCCATTAACACTCGGTAGGTTACGGTAGTAGGTTAGGTCTCATTTTCGTTGAAGTTGTTGTATACCATGTTAATTATATCATGACCGGCATCATCACAGCACACTCCTCTCCTTACCACCGTACTTGGCACCGTCACAGTAACCCACCCCCTTTCCGCCACCACCACCATAGTCACCGCTGCTGCCGTCAAACCCTTAATAACCCTCTATTATATCTTATCAGCTGTATCAAATATTCATCACTCGTGTAAACCTCTTCATAACTTATCATGAGTAATGTTATCATTGATTACAATTCTTAGTATGGCAATGTAAATCTGCCCTCCCTAAAATAAAATTTTTGTCTCGTTTGACTCTATACTTGATTCTAAAAACAGTCTGACTGTATCCGCATCGAGTCGTAGCTATTTATTATTTTTTACTAGTTTATTTTTATAAAATATTGTGGTGTAATATAGCTGCATACGTTGTGTTTTCGTCTCATGTGTCAACTAATGGATTCAACTACTTTCGAATAGAACTTTGCTAGTCAGAAGGTCCTACGAATCGGGCTGGATCCCAAGAACAATTTTAAAATCAAACAAGTAATAACAATGTTGTGTTTTTCGCTCCTTTTATCCCCATTAATATTAATTTTTCGACTGATCCAACCTTTAAAATTCTTGTACTGTTCTCGTTTTTTATCAGATTCATTGTGTTCCTGTTTAGGTAGCTGCTTGCTGCATGATTTTACAATTGTCCTCTTTCTGAGTTCAGTAACTTTTCACGTGAGTTTTTAGTCTTTCCACACTATCTATATCTATCCCGTTAACGCTTGATCAACTGTTGCTCTCGCTTGCCGCGGTGTTTGGGGATAAGGTGCATTTAATGACACCTCCGACATCACATCATCATGTTGGGACCTTCCTTTGTCCCTCGCTTTGCTTCATGTACGTTTGATTGCATCGTAAAATTGTCTTCTCAACTCCAGCATTTTACCTGCTAGCACTCACCTTAATATTTTATTCGCATACGCTTTACGTTGTATTTCTTTAACATGGAGGACAAAATCTATCTCAAAATAAGCTTTTTCAGTTTCTGAACTCGCTTTATAAGAAAGATTTCATTCTAAATAATGATATTATTACTGAATTAATGCATTAATTACTGAATCATCTGCCACCTTCATTGCAACTACTGTTGCCACTACTGTTGATGTCATTATAAAATTTCTTGAACTGCAATCCAAACTAACTTTTCTTTCTCACATCGGTTCTCTTTCAATTTCTCCGAAGAAACCGAGACCATTAAAAATATGCTTCACTGACCAAAAAGAAATATTTTCCACCTTCACTTCCGGAGTGGGACATACCCACTCTGTCTTCTTTTTTGCCTTCTCTGCCATGTAAGATCGTCACCATTTTCCTACACCACCACAGGAATCTTAAATACTAACTCATTATATTAAATTATAAAACACTAGTCCGTTTTTTGATCATCTTATTCTGTTGTCCCGACAAAATTCAAACGAGACGATTTTTATCTCGTTTTTAGAAGATGGTCCCGTTTTAATCCCGTTATTTCCACATAATTGTATTCATTTTATGAAAAAAATATCTATGCATAAAATATAAAACAGTTACTCGTATTTTTAAAATTTGAAACCAAAATTATAAATAACAGATAACAGTTTTCGTGTAACGAACGTCGAGAACCGATGTCGATAATAATGAGACATGTTGTATGGCGTTTGCCATAATAATAAGTCATACTATGAACTAAATTATATATTGTATAATATATAATTATATATTGATTAATTTTGGTTGACACTGTTGACAGTCGATCCGTGAATTGGTTTTAGATAAAGTAGATCCACAATGGATCAAATTTTTGTGATTAGGCAGACATTTTAAAATATGTGGAAGTCCACATAGATGTAGATTTTAAAAAAGCCTATGACTGTACCCATAGAGCAAGCTTAATAATATTCTTAGGGAATTTATGTTTTCACAAAAACTAGTTAATCTTGTAGAGGCAAGTATAAATGGAACAGAGATTAAAGTAAAGCTGATAAGTACGCTG